AAATGCCAAAATGCACAAATATAAAGATATAGACAACATTTTTGTCATATGAAAGAAGAAATATGTGACTTAGAAAGAAATGGACTGATGTTCCAGGAAAGAGAACTGCTCACCAGAGATGGATCCACCTGACAAAGTTTGGGCAGAGCATTTTTTGACATTTTCTCACTCATCTGGTGAGACCATATTTAAACTAGGTCACTTTGGGGATGGTGAAGAAAATCCATTGGCCATGGCAGTCATTCATGAGGGACGAAGATCAAGAGAAGAGGGAAAGTCTGAAGAAGGGCTAGGGAACAGCAATATGGCTAAGAGATATTAACATGAAGGTGATAGGAAGCTTGAGTTAGAAGTGATCATGATATAAAAGAATTTGTTATGATTCTAAGAAAGAGGAGGCATGAGATTAACAAAGAAGCATAGGAGACTATGTACAGCTACATATGGAGCTTCTTAGCTGCCTTAAAAAAAAAGAAGAAACCATACAGAGGATAGAGGAGGGCAAGTCACTAAGGAAGCATACCAAGGTATAGCAGCACCTGACAAGGACAAAATTAGAAACTAAAAGGCGAAAAATGAGATACAACTGGCAAGGGACATTAAAACAGCAAGAATGGTTCTATAAATATATCAAACAGAAAAGAAAGGACAAGAAAACTTTGGGCACGTTTACACATGTATTAATGCACTTTTTCTAATGTGCATTAAATTTAGTACGTCCAGTATGAGGTACTAAATAAATGTGCATTGAGCTTCCCTGATGTGCAGAAGTTCAAGCACACTTCTTAGGTAACGTTTAATGCATAGTAGCCTATTTTACTGTGCATTAGTGTAATAGCACAATTTCTTATGCAGCGATTTAACGCACAGTAAAATAGGCTACTACGTATTAAAGTCCATTTGTAGATGCACCTGTGGGTCCAACAATAGGAAAATTGAGCCAATAGTGGAAGATACCAAGAAAGCAGAGCAGATCAGTGATGACTTTTCCTCAGTCTTGAGAAAAAAATCATAAACTGTGACTAGACAGCTAACAAAATTAATGCAGATGAAGAAAAAGGCCTGTGGATCATAATAAAGATCATGTCAGACAGTTTTTTGACAAATTTGAATGAATTTAAGTTAGCAGTTCCTAATGAAATTCATTCCAGGGTGCTGATGGAACTGGCTGAAGAAATCTCACAGCCATTGACAGCAAAGTTTACAAAATCATGGGGGATTACGTCTGTGCGAAGTGGCTAGTATTTGCTTCAGATTTGGATTTGGCTGATTTGGGGGACAGTGATTTGATTTGGTGATTTGAATCACTGCCCCAAATTGATTCGGCCGAATCTGATTCAGAGATTTGGCTGCTGCCAAATCAGTTGAATCTCTGAATCACAAAGGCCCCATCCCCTGCCCACTCTCAGTGGCTGCCCCGTCTGGCCTCAGCTCTTTGGAAAAAAAAAACAACCCACACTCACTAGCTGCTGCCAGGTGTGTGTGAAGGGTGTGATCCCTGCTGCCCCCCACTGCCCCGTGCCATGTTGGGGGCTCTGCCATGAGCCCCCTGACCCCTGCCCACTCTTCCAGCCTGCCCCCCCATGGCTG